GAGAGTGTGTGTGTGTGTGTGTGTCTGTGTGTGTGTATGTGTGTGTGTGTGTCTGTGTGTGTGTGTGTGTGTCCAGCCCCCCCGCTGTACAGATTAGGGGCATTGTTTGCTGGTGTGGATCCTCCAGCATCTCCCCAGTGCCCTCATCCTGGGCCCTCCTCAACATCCATCCATCCATCCATCTCCCAGTCCCAAATCTGTTCTGATCCCCCCCTGCCACCTTCCCTTCTTTCCCTCCCAGGGTCCTGCACCCCCTCCCCCAGCTGCAGGGATGGAGCAGGGAGCAGACTGACCCTCGGTGCTCTGCCATGGGGAGAGCTGGTCCTGCTGCTTCTGACAGCTCTGCCTGGCTGCTCTTCCCTAGGAGACAGGCCAGGCTGGAGAGGGAGCCAGGGGAACTACCTCCTGAGACTTGGCAAGGGCTGGAAACATGGCAGCACACAGGCCATGGATGGTGCAGGAGGAAGGCAGGACATGAAAGACGCGATGTGCGGTGTGACCCCTCCACAGGGGACAGCATGAATCCCTTTATTAGCAATGGCTGCAAAGCTGGTGCAGACACATGCTCCTGGCTCCTCTTCCCTGAGTGATCCTGTTGTCCTTCCTTCTCCGCACAGCTCTGGGACACTGGTTCTCCTCAGCTGCCAACATGCCAGCCCTGTGGAGGGGAGACAGAGATGGAGGTGACTCCAGTCACAAAGGCCATGTGTGGTGCTAAGGAAACTTGGAGTGGTTCAAAGCAAAGACTCCCTTCTCCACCAGGACTTCTACCCACTCCCCAGATGGCATAAGCAATGCTGGTAAGAGGTCTCAGCCACTGACACTGCTAATGTTGGGGCTTTTGCTACAAGCTGGATTTGTTCCTCACTCTAGACCTGAGCAATGCAGACAGACCAAGCTCTCACCCGTGGCGGGAATCCCACGGGCCTCCTTGGCCACATCAGGGGGATGCGCCAGCTTTCTTCAGCATTGCCCTGTTGGGGAGGAGCGTCAAGAAGTGTCCTATTCACTTCCCTGGTGATCCCGCTCTCGCAGCACCCGCTCAGGCGCATCCTCCCTGTGTTCGGTGGCACTGCATCTCCCTGTTTTAGTGGGACCCCTGTGACACGAGCTTCCCTGTGCCCCTGGGAAGATGAGGAAGAACAGGCTCTCCCTTACAAGGCCCAGGGTGCAGCAAGGGACCTGGGTGGAGCTGAGGCCTGGCTTTCATGCTGAATATCCTTACACAATTTATTTCTGGAGTTGCTGGGAAACGATTTTTTTTCCCTGTAAAAAGGTTTTTAGGGCTTTTTCTTGTCTTTTTCTTTTTTCCAGAAACACTCGAAAGTTCCTGACTCGCAGAATATGGGATTTTTCTGAGGGAAATGGGCAATTCCTGGAAACCTGACCCCCTCTAACCATTTATCTCAGATCCCAAATCCCTGCAGGTTTGTTTGAATGCTTCTTCTGCCTGGTGACACCTTCCTGTTCCCTGCCACCCAGGCCTGCCGTTGATGCGCTGCCGACCCCCTCTGAAGACATAGGCAGCCCTAACACCAACTGGCCCCCGTCCCAACAGGCTGTACTCCCCAGCAGAGACTATGCCCTGTGTCCTTACCTTCTCTGTGGGCTCCTCCCAGCAGCTTCCACCAGATCTGTAGCCCCAAAATGTTCCATGACCGTCTGATCTATCTCCTCCTCGCCTTGGCCAAGCTGCCCAGACCAGGAGGGAGGTTCTGGCTGGAGGGATGATTGCAGAGCTGCCAACCTTTCACTTGTCTGTATGGGCCTCCAAGCAGAAGTTCACTGGGGGGTGTCCAGTGGTTGCTGAGATGCCTTCAAAGCGCGATGGATGCTGGCTGCAGTGCTCTGCTTATTGCCTTCCCTTGGCACCTGGTTCTTAACCTGTATCCATCACTCCCAGTCCTGTTGTCACTTGCTCTCACAAGAAATCTTTTGTTGGGCACCCAACAGCCTCCCTCTAGGCTTTGAGGAGCCCTGTGGCTCCTGGTGGGCCTCAGTCTGCTGTCACAGCACAGCAGAGAGGCCTGTTTGCAGGGCCATGCTCATACCCAAGCTGAAGAAATCAGGCGGAAGAGGCTGTAGCATAAGCTTTGCTCTCATTCCTGACTTCACCGCCAGTTTTGCTACCTTGAGTCCTTTGTCTCTGCTCAAACATCTGGCTGCTGGGCTGCATCTTAGCAATTCCTGTCATTCGCTTCTGCACCTCATCGGCTCTGATAAGAACAAGAGCCAGGGCCCTGGCATGGTCCCATCAGAGCCGCACCTCTCCCTCTGCCCTCACATGCCACAGCGAAGCCCAGCACCACAGATGCGGCCGTGGGGAGAAGCATCTGCTGGAAGCCCCAGGCTGTCCTCAGTCTTCCCATCCCAGAGATCTCCCCAGGGCTTAAAATGGGGATTCCCAGGCCACCTGGGCCAGCACCATGGCACGCTTCAGCTGCTCGTAGGACACAAACATGACGATGTTCCAGGAGCCCAGGCGTAGGAATGAGGGCACAAACCTGCGGGAGCCAAGGGACAGTCACAGTCAGGAGACCCCTCCTCTTAGCCCAGTGCCGTGTCCACTGCCAGCCAGGTTGCATGAGCACATCCAGCGCCCCAGGGATGCATCTGGAGGCTGTTTCCTCGGTGTAGGACACCACTTACCCCTTGTAGAAGGCAGCGGGCCCTTCCTTGATCACCATGGTGAGCATGCAGTTCAGGGCATTCTTGTACTGCCCGGGGGCTGAGTTCATGTACCTTGTCTTTACCACATCCACTGGCGAAGCCACCACTGTGGCACAGAATCCGGCGCCAAAGGCAGCCACAAAGTGGCAAGGGAAATTGTCTGTGGGCACAGAGGGAGATGGGTTAAACCTCAGGATGTAGTGCAATGGGTGACTCCACTGGAGACCTGCCTCTACGGCCATGAGGAGGTACTGGCTATCAGCTATAAAAGCTGTGCGAGGCACTATCCATTCAAGGCAGAGATGAATCAAGCACGCTGAGCAGTTGGGAGGTATCTCTGAGGGTCTCCAAAGCAGCTGGAAGCTCAGCTCTTAAGAGGATTTCCTAAAAAAAATCCCTCTAGGCTCATTTCTGTGGCTTTAGGGCCAAAACCCCTCAGAAAGTCCAGCCTGCAGCATCAGCCAAGGCCACACAGTGCTTGTTCCTGGGGTCACCAAGCTGCCCCTGGACCAGCCTTTCTCCAGCCCTCCTGGCATTGATGCCTGAAGCATCTCAGCAGGCTCTTGCGGTGACTGGGTCCAGTCCTTGAGCCATCACATGCAGTGGCAGGTTAGGGAGGGCTCAGGCAATTCCCCTCCGGCGAATGCCCTTTTACCAGCAGAGTGACCCAGACCAGGGATGACCCAGCTGACTCCGAGCCCCAAGCAATCCTCACCTGTCATCAGGTGGTACTTGATCAGCGCCTCCTTGATGAGGTCATAGGTGACCAGCTCCCCACAGTTCACGATGGCGTTGCGGGTGATGTTGGGTAACGTGCCTGTCGGGGGAGAGACCAAGAGCGATGGGTGGGTGGAACTGGGCTGGTCACAGATCTGCCGGTCCCCTTGCTGCATGTGGTGTCAGGTGTTATGGGGTCACCGTGAGGGACAACGCCTGGGATTTCCACTCATCCCCATCTGAGGTTGGTGTTGACTCTGAATCCAAATGATGGCAATGCCAACATCATTGACCCGTGAGTTTATGATCATTTGGGTGGTAGGATCCTGCTCTTTAGAGATCCTGTGTGGTGTCTGGGGCTGGATAAAGCACCAGCAATTTCTTTTCCAGCCAGCCTGTTGCCTCACTGGGGAGAAGGATCATGCCTGCATTTGCTGGGACTTGATCTGGGCTTGGCTGTGATCCTCACTGGGGTCTAACAGGCTGCATCTGCCGTGGCTTATGCCAGGAGGAGTCCGTATGGGAAACCGTCCTGCTGTGGCTGTGGAGGATGGCGGAAATCCCCAGCCCTCTCCACACTCAGCCCCAGCACTGGTCACGCTCTACATGAGGCCCTCTCATGGCTGTCTAGTTGGGTGAATTTGCATCAGGGCCAAAGCTAGCCCAGGATAGAGCTGTCCCTGGCCCTAAGAAAGAGCCAAATTGGAGACCCAGGGAGTAGAGATGGGGACACCAGGGTCCATGTGGGCCTGCCACTCAGATAGTCACATGCCCCCTTGCGAGCCAGTCAGATCTGCCTTCCAGGGGGGTCTGCAAAACCCCAGAGACAGACCCAAGCTCTGTGTAAAGGGGCTGCTGCATTTATCCTTCCTCTGTGTAACCCCAAGGGCTAGACCCTGGGCTGGCATAAGGTGGCCTCTCTCCATCTATTTCCACACCGTCGCCTCTGGTTGAGCCACACTGGTTTCCCTCCCGTTGCTGCATACAGGCTTCCTGCCCTGGTACCTTTCCAGAGGCCTCGGACCCCTTCCTCCTTAGCAATGGTCTTGTAGGCGTCCACGGTCCCATTGTACTTCTTGCTTCCGTCCATCAGCGTCACGTGAGCCTGGAACCGAACCTTCACCACGTCGGTGGGCTGGGCACAAGTCACAGCCATGGCCCCTGTGGTACAGCCAGCCAGCAGCCGAGTCAGGATACCGGTGCCTGGGGGGAGCATAACACAGTGGGTTGCAACCTCCGTTGTACCTTGAACTTGAGAGCTGAACAGATACCATATCTACTTGCACCTTTCTCCCAATATCAGCCTTCCAGAATTGAGGGGCGTGTCTTTAGCAGGGAAGAGCAGCAGTGGCACTTCTATTCAGGCAATGCTGAGCAAGTCAGTTAACTCCCTGACTCATCATAATCTATAAGTGCTCTTCACTCCACAGGCATTAACAACCCTCTCTCCTTGTTAATGGTCTTGATGTTCCACTGATCGAGTTATCAATTTTGTGGAATAATTCACCATTTAGCTACTCCTGTCTCTCTTCTCCTATGTCACCACATCCTAGGTCTGCCAACAGAGGCTGGTTTTCAGCAGCAGCTACAGTTTCAGCTTTTGCCTGAGCAGTCCAGAGCTGCTGACAGCTCAGCTGTGAAAGAGGTCACACTGTAACTTTTGCCTGAGCAGGAAAAGGAAGGGAGTGAGCTGAGTATCAGGCTCTGTCCCTGTTCTGTGTGGCCAAAACTCTGGGAAAATCCTTTTTTTCTTCATTCTGCCTTCCCAAAAACAAGGCATGTTTCTAATTTGGGAGTGTGTGGTAGGTGAGACAATATGGGAGGCTCAAAGTTCAGCCTCTCTGCTTATCACAGGGTCTTGCAGTCACCTCTCTCTGAGAATGGGCCTAGCTGACTCCTGTGGCCTCAGGCCTGTCCCTTAGCCCTGAGGGGTGCCCAACTCTTGAGGCTTTGGCATCACTCCCCTGACTAAGAGCAGGGCCCTTGGCTGGAGGCTGCCAGCCATAGAGACTGGGGTGCCGGTACTCACTGTCAGAGCCCTTGGAGGAGTAAAACTGCTTGACCGAGTCGTACAGCCCAATGCGGATAGAGGCGAAGCTCATCTGACGCTGCAGCCCAGCCACCAGCCCATTGTACAGGCTGCTGGGACCCTCCGTCTTCACCATGGTGGCCAAGGTGCCAAAGACACCCTTGTACTGCACAACCGTCATGCTCCTCACTGGCTTGGCCTCGCCTTGGATCTTGGGGATAGACAGATACAGCTATGAGCATACAGGGACATGGGGGAAGAGCCACAACAGACTCTTGCTCTGGCTCCAGACCTTCTCTCTCAGCCTGGACTTGAGCCCAAGGCTGCACCCACTAGAAACGGGCTCCTGGCTTTTCAGACTGTGGGGAGAGGCAGCTGGGCACGATGGCAGCCGCATCGCTCCCTGCCTCTGGGAATCAGTGTGCTGTGACCAGGCTTGGGAGGATTTTGGACCAGACTCCTAGGCAGCAACCTTTAGTCAAGGAGTAACTATTCCTTGAGGCAAGGGATGGGGTGTCATGCAGGGGCTTGCTGTGGGAGCCCCCTCTCTATGAAAGCATGTGGCCTGCAAGCCTAGTCTGTGGCAGCTGGGCCAAGTCAAGAAGGGGTGAAATTATTGGGCACAGGTGCATTGCTGTGTTTTTGATCAGCAAATTCGTGGCAAAGCTCCAGTCACGGTCTGATGTTGGTGGTACTGCACGTGGAAGCACTGCACAATCCATATATTGTGTGAACCACTTCAGCTACTGACATGCAGCTGCTGCTGGAGTGGAACATGGCAGCTGCTTAGTGTTGACAGCAGCACGCATCCAGGCAGGGAAGGCAGAGCAATGCCACATCCAGAGAGACGTTACCATCTGGGATGGCATGTGCCCAGGACAGCAGGGTGGCACTATGAGGCTCAACCCTGATGTTTGCCGAGTGTGTGGCCAAGAGATAGGAGATACTCTGCAGTGAAAATCCAGAGGAAGCTCTCCCTAGCACAGGAGACCAGGTGAGGCCTGGGTACCACATTGGTTGCTTCCGGAGACCAGGCTGGACCTTCAGCTGGGTTGCATGTTGCAGCCCCATGATTGCAATGGACTATTCTTCAGTTGTGGGCAGTGTCCATCCCTGTGCGGCCCCCTCTGCAGAGTGTACCTTGTAGTGGGAATTGCACCGGTACCATGTCTGCAAATCCCCGTGCAGACGGGGTGGCTGAGCCAATGCTAGCAAAGCACTATAGTGCTCCTCCTGACCCCCATGGCATGGCAACGGGGGGACCACACTGGGACCCAGGGACTGCATGGAAGCCAAGGCCAGAGATGCTGCAGGGATCTAGCTCAGCCCTGTGCATAGCACAGGCATGCAACCCTTGCATGCAGCATCCTCAGAGGGGAGCAGCTAGGCTGTGTCCAGACACTGCCAGGGACGAAAGAGCAGCTCCAAGGGCCGATCCACATCTGAATCAGCTTGTGCACTTGCTTTCCCAGCCTGAATCCTTCCAGCGCCAGCTCAGCTGCATTCTCCCCCCCCCGCACCCCACTCTGTGGCCGCGGGCACCTCCCTTTACACCTCCATCCCTCCCCTGCCTCTCTCCTCCCCCTTGTCTCCCTTGTCTCAACCCCAGCCTCCCTGCCTGTGTGTATGCTGTGCTGGGCACCATGGCACCCTCCACAGCATGAGCATGAGCACAAGGGCCCCTACCTGCAGCCGGACTTTGGCCGTGTCCAGTGGGAAGGTGCACAGGTCAGCAATGCAGGCGGCAGTCCCTGCACTGAGGAACTTCACAGGGGCCGATGGAGGGACGTCTGTGGGCTTCAAGCCGACCATGGTGCCAGGGAGCGAAGGCAGGGGCCAATCGGCGATGATTGAACCAGCAGCGAGCTGTGCCTCCTGGAGATAGAAGGGAGGCTGCAAAAAACCAACAGGATCATAGCTCTCAGGAGCAGAGAGGGAGAGAGGTGATTTCACATCCTTTTATCAAAGATCAAGGATCCCGAAGCTCTGGGGAAGGTCTCTGGGCACCCCGGCTCTCCACCCCATCTCTGAACAGCCTTGGATGACCCTGAGACTGTCTCATAGGCCTGTAGCTCCTGTTATGGAGCATCTGAGCCCTGTGCAAGGCTTAGCACACATCTGTCTGCACAGCCCCATGGGAGTGCCTGCTTGGGGGCTGGATGACCTGCCCAAGGCCATACAGGATATCTGTAGCGGAGCAGAGGCCCACGTCAGGCAGGCTTCTCCATGTTGCAGGCTGGTGCTTTCAGCATTGGAGGGCCTTCCCTGCTCCCTGTGGTGCTGGTGGAAGTCAGGAGGGATGCCTGCGTGAGCAGAGCCACAGGTGTACAAGCAGGGGACTGTACATGCCCAGCCTGCAGTGCCCTCCCCTGGGCTGGTGACAGCTGCTGTTGTACTCAGATCCTGGAGGAGCCAGAGAAAGCTGGGACCAAATTCCCCGCTGCAGACACAGCTCCCCTGTTTCTCAGCAAGAGCGCAGAGCAGTGGTAGTGGAGGGCGCTAAGGGCCCTGCAAGCACTGAAGCAGCTGGAAAGTCACTGGCTGCAAAGGAGATGGGAAGGGGAAGGGGTTTTCCATCAGGCTGATCGGTTGGGCCTGGGGGACTGTCTCTGGAGATGCTGTGGGCAGGGATGACTTGGGAATAGCAGTCCTGCCTTTGACCAGGGGGTATGGAGCGGGGCCTTTGAGGTCTCCGCCAGCCCTGGGACACTGTGATCGAGGGGGATCTTTGCACTGCTCCGGGATTGCCAGGCAGATCTGGGCAGACCTGAGGTTGGCAGGAGCAGACCAGCGCCAGGCCAGCGGGGCTCAGCCCCAGCAGCCTTGGGAACAGCATTGCTCCAAGGACAGGGCTCCACACCCAGCTGCCACCTCCCACAGCACAGGGGTAACCTTACCTTCTCCTGTGCCTGGCTCTCAGCACCCTCAGGTGGCACGCATGCAGGCTCCGGGCTCTACCATCCTGCTGTCCAACCCTCCTGCTCTTTGCTGGCCCAGCCTCTTGGCCTCTGATCTATATACTTCAGGGCTGGAATCCAGGCTGGACGGCAACGGACGACCGCAGGCGTCAGCTGATGGTGTCAGTGACACACCTGCCCCCATGTCCTCCTGGGGTTGAAAATAGACCATGTCATGAGATCTGCCTGTTTTGCAGGGAGTCTCTCCAGGACTCCTGGGCAGCTCTGCTGGAGACTGGTTGTCCTGATGGGTGCCCTGGTATAGCCCTGGTACTCTGCATGGTCTGTTCCCTGGCACCATGTCCGTAGAGGGTGGCTGCTGGCATTGCCAGGGGTGGACTTCCCTGAGGACAGGGCTAAGTTGAGAGGTGGGATGGGGAAGAGGCCTGCAGGATGCCCTCTCCACAAGTCCTCCTGTGCCTCAGTTTCCCCTCCATTGCAGGCAACGCTCCCCTCTTCCTCACCAGGCCTGCATCCACCTGCGTTAAGTGCTTCTTAGCAATGTTTTCAGGTTGATATGAAACACAAGGAGTAAAACCAGGCTGGTTGGGTTTCCCCTTCCCTGCACTGTCTCCTCTCATCTCAGCATTGCAATGTAGGGGTAGGGCCTAAAACAGGGGCATGAAACCATCCCAACACCCACCATGGACCTGACTAGCCCCATTTCTAGGTGGGATCTTGGGTGCATCCTCAACACAGCGGGGGATTTTGCCAGGCCTCAGTGGTGCACAGGCTCCGGTAGAAAGGATACTCTGCTGTCAGCATCTCCCAGGCCTCTGGGCTTTGCTGGGTGCCACATGGGGCTGGGAAGGAATTTTTCCCCCCTCCTGTTGCTACACGTCGGGATTTTTCTCACCTTCTGCAGCACTGGGTGCTGGCTGCAGCCCAGGCTGGGGGGCAGGGACGGGGCTGTGCCAGAGCTCCTGCTGGGACTAATCCTGGAGGTTTCTAGCTAGACGGTCTTACCCCTGCACTCAGGGTCAGGCTGACACTGTATTTGGGGTCAGGAAGGAATTTCCTCCCCTGGTCATATTGATACAGGCTGGAGGGGTTTTGCCTTCCTCTGTAGCAGGGGCACGGCCTCTGCCTGGGACGTCTTGCACATGTATTAACTTCCTTTTACAAGGGCAGGACACTGGCTGCTGCGGTCCCCCTTGCCTCCCCATGGCAGGTTCGGGTGTGATGTCTTCTGTTGTGTCTGGGTTGGCAGTAGTTTTAGACCAGTGGTCTCCAAAGTGGGGTGTGCAAGACAATCCATTGGGGTGTGGGAAGAAAATATTAGAACTTCTATTTATATGTATATTTATATAAATATACATATATTGGGGGTGCGTGCTCAAAATTTTTTTACTGATAGGGGTGCGCGATCAAAAAAGTTTGGAGACCACTGTTTTAGATGAGGGATTTGCATGGGATGGTTTGGATAGGGCTGATCCTGCCTCAGGCAGGGGGTTGAACTAGATGTGACCACGAGAGGTCCCTTCCAGCCCCACTTGTCTAGGATCCTCTGAGATGCGGCTGTTTCCACTCCCCACGGTAGGTGCACTTCATGTTTCACGTTCACGAGAGTCCCTGCAGACATAACCCTTTGGTGATCGCAGCTGGTTTTGACCCCGAGGTGAGCCTTCAGGGTTGCCTCTCTCTGCACCGGGTGAATTGAGAGCTGCTGAGCTGGGCTGGAAGCAGGGGCTGCATATGGAAATAGCTGTCGTTGTAGCGGGCGAGCCAGGGCATTCAGCGAGGGCTGGCTCTGCACCTGTCCCAGCTATTTACAGACGTGGTTTCCCTGAAACAACCTAAGGACCTGCGGGGGGAGGCCTGGTGAGAAGCAAACTGAGTGACCCCAACTCCACACGGGGGCAAGAGTTGGTGCAACCGGGTCTAGGGTGCCAACAGGGCCGTGAAGGGGTGGTCACAGCCCTGGAAAGGCTGGTTTGCTGCATGGAGCCTCCTAGGTGTTGCCAGCACAGCCTCTGTGCTGGGGGGCTTGATGGGCGATGGATTTGCCCCAGCTGCCCTCTGAGCAGTGGCACGGGCTGGGCAGGCTGGCACAGACAGCCTGCAAGGGCGAAGTGGGAGAGTTGGTTCTAGCCCCGGCTCTGCCGTGGTCTGGCCACGCAAGTCAAGGATCCTCTCTGTGCCTCAGTTTCCTCCAGCAGGAAGGCAGAGCTTGGTGGAGACAACCTGGGTGAACTGGGTATGGGCATGCTTGTCCCACTGCTGTTGTGTGCTGCACAATTGCCCAAAAGACTCTGTCCCCCAGAGCAGCAGAAACCCACCCCCACCACCTTGTAGCCTGCTTTCATTCATGCCTTTAGGATGCTGCTTGCCAGGGCAAGGAGAGTGCCCTGCCTAGGTCAGCACTACAGGAGACCTACTGGGAAACCCACTGCTGGGCATGAGGGAGAGGGTAGTTTCCTCTTGATACTATAGATAACGCACTTCCTTGGCATGCCAGAGAAGATAAGAAAGGTAACGGCGTGCCAGTGCCTGTGTGTGGCGAATAGAGAGGGCTCCTGTCGCTCTAGCAGCACAGGGCTCCATCTTTACCAGCCCTCTGGGACCCCGGCTGCCTGTGGGTCACAGCACAAGGACAGCCAGGACGCTCCTATGGGACCATTGATGTGTTACAATGCTATTATCCATCACCCAGGCAATCTCAGAGCTCATTTCCTTGGTTCCAGGGGGTCAGCAGGCATGGACAACCGGACACCAAAGCAGGCGTGACCGTGGGGAGAAGTGGGGGGTCAGAGGACCAGGCCGCAGGCAGCTTCCACATAAGGCACTAGCTGGTGCAGGCTGATAAGACGCAGACCCCATCTGCACGTGGCCATGTGTCAGAGCCTGAGGCGAACGAGGCCGTTTAGTTTGGAGAGGGCTGTTTTGGAAGCTGTTTCCTCCAGGAGCGTATGTGGAGCTCCACTGCCGGGCTCCCTCTAGCTGATCAGCCTCTGCTACGTGATGCACACTTGCTCGCCCCGAGCAGGACAGTGGGGCCAGGTCAGGAGAGCGCTTTGCCCTGCAGGCTGTACTCTTCCCCGTGCCTCTGCACTCTCCGGGAATAACAGACCAGAAATAACCTGCCCCCAAGGGCTCTGCTGGGGAGAAGCCCAAGCTCCCGTGGCCACCTCCGCACTGAGAGACTTCTTCCCAGGCTCTGTCCCCATGGGAAAGATCAAGGCCCCCGCCTCCACTCTGCCCCAGTACGGGATGCTGCTGGGAGGCAGTAGGTCAGGAACAGTCCTGCCCTCATCCCTGCATGTGCTGCAACAGCACACGCTGCAATGAGAGGGGCAGGAGGCTCTTGCTACAAGATGTACACTTATGCCAAGGTGGGGGCCAGCCCCTTCCTGAAGCCTGTGGTGGATCATGGCCTGACACCACAGGCTGTCTCAGCAGTGCCAACTGGAAACCCCCGTCCAGAGCAGTGTCACAGAGAAACACTCGCTCTCGGGATCCAGCTCTGAACAACACCCCTCATTCGGAGAAGTACGGTGCTGCGGGAGCCTGTCACTTCCCGGGATGGACAAAAGCAGCCGCTGGTTTTCTGAAGCCATGTCCCTTTTGTTTCTAGATCTGCTTGACCCCTCGCCTCCTGGCAGACTGGAGAGCGCAGGTAACCAGAGAAGCCACGCAAGGGAAACCTGATGGATTTGAGAGGCGAGTTTTTATTCCCTCCGCTTAATGCTTGGTGTGAACAGCACTGAGAACTCAAATGCATGAGATGCGCTAAGGAAAGGAAGCAGCTTTGGGATTGATTCAACAGCCTGGTAGAGCAGGAGCACACCTCGACTCTTCTGTGTGCACGGGGGCAGATTTGAGGCTGTTCTTCTAACCCGCAAAGGACATTAGGCTCATTTAATTCCCTTGACAACTTAGTTTTAATAGGGCTGAGTAGGCCTTTGTCCTCACTGCCCTGCTTCAGGATCATGAGAACACCCAGTTTCACTCTTGCGTGTTGGTCAACACAATGGCAGCACAGACCATCGTCCAGGTCCTCACGCTGTTTCTTCCTACATGTCCTCCCCATGCCAGGGGGTTTTGCTGGGTCATAGAGAAGTGAGGCTGGAAGGGACCTCCAAAGGTCACTTAGCCCAACTCCCTGCTGAAGGGGGTTAGAGCAGCCATATCACCAATCCTATACAACCTCTTAGCAAATCAACCCTGATACAACACGAGGCACTGCACCTGATCCTGCCACAGGTGAAGCAAAGGAACCACGCAGCCAACATCATGCTGCTGTAAAGGTTATTAATATACAAGACCCCATGTCCCCCGCTACGGAGAGGAAGGCACAGCCGGTGACGTCAATGTAAGAGGAAGAAGGTATAGAAATGGCTCCCCCCAGCACCATGGCAGTCAGCCCTCTGCTCAGCACTGATGTCCCCATTCATTTGACACTAAGTGGGCATGCAGAGCCCAGAGCAGAAGAGGGCTCAGCCACAACCTGGCCTGCCAGGAGCTATCAAGTTGCCGGAGTCGGGACATTCAGTTCACGATAGCTGTTGCTTGTTTATAGGACTGCGAGACATCTGATAGTGGCAACATCGCCTGTCCTTGTCTGGGCCCACCACAGGCACCGAAGACATCAACAATATAATTGTGCCAGACGCATTGTCTGAATGGGAGGCAGGGATTCAGCTGGGAACAACAGCGTGTCAGCTTCCTGGGTGCTGTCGCGGGCACCCCTCGTGCGTGTCAAGTGTTGCAGCAGCTGGGAAAGCAGCTACCACGTCACTATTGTTCTCTGCCTGCCATGCCGAAGCCAGGAGTGCTATCTCCAACTCTTTTAGGAGCAGGAGCAGACTCTAATGCTCCAGCCCAGGAACCACTTGCTTCTACAGCAGTACCAGACGCAGCAGACATCACAAAAACACCGGGATTGTTTTATTGAAACACGGACCACAAGTGGCACTGGAACATCTGTATAAAAATAAATCATCCTCGTTTGGGTTCAAGTCAAGTCCCTTCAGAGACTCAAAGCTGTTGATCGATTTTAGTTAGAAATGACTCTATACATTCATAAAAAATAGGAAAAATAATTTACATCTCCCAAAGTCACACACCCACTCACAAAAAAGCTTTGCAATGATTCATATTTTTATAGGATCACTGTGTGTTTTATGTGCAATGCACAGAAGCCGCGTAAAAATTAGCATCAGCTCCCACAGGAAGAGATTTGTCTTGCAAATGGAAAAATGCTTTTTAAAAGTCACTTAATGTGCAAAATCATGGCTTTCCCAGCCTGGGTTATCTGTGGCCATTCAACGGGGGGCTGTCACTGTGCATCCTGCTGCAGAGAATTTGGATGGACTTTCCCTCAGTGAGTAAAATGAACTGACACTTCATTTCTCTTAACAGTGAAACTACTTCAAACATTTCCCCTACCTTGTATGGAGGAAAACACCCACAGCTTATCCAAAAACAGGATGTTTCATTACTTAGCCTGCAAAGAGATCATTATTGAATCTTCCCCAAGTGTAAGGCTTTGGAAGTACCCAGACAGCAGATAAAACTTTGCAGCTTCAAATAAAGAGCTGGGGTTAGTGACAAAATTCACAGGACAGGTGAAAATAGGTGTCTGAAGATCTGACCTTACTGCCTGCACAACACCCACAGGCTCCGCTGAGATCCACGGGGATCAGGGTGTTCAGCCTCTCCCCAGCTTTTGTATGCAGGGAAACCTCCACGTTTCTTTCAGAAGAGCAGGCCCGGGTGGGACGGCTGGATGGCTTTGCAGTCGAAGTAGTTTAGTTTCCCCAGGGTTTCGGGCTCCCCAAAGGTAGGGCCTGAGGAATGCAACAAGCCTCGAGAGACAGCCTCTCAGAGCAAGGCTATTCTTTCTTGGACAACTGTGCTGAAAATATCCGAGCGATTCTTCTCGTTTCCTGCTCTGGCAGATCAGCTGAGGTCAGTTTTGGTCTGAGTCGGTTTTGCCTCCGGTACGGGATTCCCCCAGCAGCGGCACCTCTCCCAGCCTGAGGAAGAGACAGTGACAGCACTAAGCACCAGGCAAAATGCAGAGTGGTGCTCTGCTCATCACAGGGAAGGACAGCAGTGGTTCCGGGAAAAGCAGAGTCATCTATCTACGTAGCTGAGAACTGTTGGGTTCCAGTTCTGCTTTCGGTTACAGTTCTCACAATGCAGGCCCTGACAGTATGGGTATGGTTTTACTGCTCCCCTGGCCATCCTGAGACCCCGGCTAGGAAATAAGC